GGAACAAATACAGAAGTTCTTAAGATGCGGTGGCTATTTCAGGATGTTCAGGAATCCATTATTTAACTTATTTTCTGTTCCTGACCTTCGGGTATTCACTCTGATGTGATTATCTTAGGATTTCTGTTCATTCATGAACTACATATTTTAATGAAAGGTAGAGCCATTTCATAGACTTAAAAAATTCCTCTTCTATTAAGTCAGGGTGAGACAGATTTTCCTAAAGCGAGTGGTGAGCTACAGCGGGTGAACAGATGTGAATATGGTCAAAAAAAAATCAGAAACTAGCCTGGTGTGCCAAGGAAAAAATGGTGTTAATTCTTCGTGGGCCCCAAAATGGCTATACAAAGAGTCTTTAAAATGTCATATGTTGTTTATGAGCTCTTCCACAGTGAGATTTAAAACTTCTTTGAGGAAAGATACCATTGTTTTAGGATTGTGTTTGTCTGTAGGAACCTGTAATGGATAATGATTCAGATGTATGTGGATAATTTTATTTCATCAACTGCTTTACAATGATTTATCTCAGTATATATTATAAATGATAAATCTTCTATTATGTCCAGCTCTTAAACTGCCATTTATAAAATTATTGTTAACTTTGGTCTTGGAAACACAGTAGACTTTCAAAATAATATTATCTCCTGGATTATTCTTGATTTATATAATATTAATGTATGTTTATTTGTCTTTTGTTGCAGGATTTATTTATACGTGTGGTGGAACTTTAAAAGGACTTAATGGCACTATAGAAAGCCCTGGTTTTCCATATGGATATCCAAATGGTGCAAACTGTACATGGGTAATAATAGCAGAAGAACGAAATAGAATACAAATTGTTTTTCAGTCATTTGCTCTAGAAGAAGAATATGACTACTTATCATTATATGATGGACATCCTCATCCTACAAACTTTAGGACAAGGTTAGTGTATTTTGAATGGAAGACTGGAGAGAAAATATTTTCTGGGTAAAAGTAGTCTATTTTACAAAAGATGCTTAACATTTGTGATGCAATTGTAATAAAGTTGTATTCATCAACTAATTATTATGTATTTGGAAGTATATCATCCCATGAACAAATTAGCTTGGTATCTCTGACATCATACTGCTAATACATTAATACCAAGTCTCACAAAGGTGAATGTATATTGAGTAGTGATGTCTTTATAGTGGCTAAAAGTATTTTGTTTTTAAAAATGATTATCTCAAGATTTCATTCATTATGGATATAACTTTTGATAAAGTAAAACATATTATATAAGGTATATTTTAGTGATAATGTTTCCAATTTTACTATACAACACTATGCAAAATCACTTTAAAATCAGCATTCATGGATAGTAGAATAAATTAATTTCTGATGTGTGTAATTTATAAAATCTAAATATCTGAAAACTACATTCCTTCATGTCAAAAACGGGGACATTTATATTTTTGCCTCTGCAAATAAAAGTATTTTTTTGAAGCTCAGTGATAAAACAGATGTAAAAATTAACTAACACCCTGACTATTTTTAAGGTAGTTCTTCTCGTTCTTCAGAATTTCCTCTTGGCGAATAGGTTATGTAAAATTAGAAGTGTTTTTGGAAGTCTTACCAAAAACTTATTTTAACTGTAAATCAACTATAATTCAACTAAAAAATTCAACATTCCAGGCATTGCACATTTTATTTAGTCCTAGATTTATGCCAGTGTTTGTATACTTTTCTTTAAGTGCCATCAGCGTTTTTAAACTTGTAATTTAAAATATTCTAAGAAGATAACATGTAGGAATTAAAGACTCTTTCCATACTTGGCTATATTTGAGTTATGATTCTGTGACGCTGTTACTTTCTAATAGTTGACAACATGTTCTTGCTTTCCTAATGTACAAGAAGCAGATTATCAGTGCTGACTTTTTACAGTTTCATCAGTCTTCCATATTCCTTTGCATTTATACTTTTTCAATTTTAGGTAAAAAATTAGTGATTATTTTCCTCAAATTTGGGCAGTGAAAACATAATATAGTGGGGAAACATAAAATAGTGGGGTGGATCTGGAGATGAGATTTGTTACATTAGGGTGTTAGGTTTGTTGCTCACCAGTTATTTGAGCAATCCACACTACGTCTGTTTAAACTTGAGACATGGTAATAAGGCCAGGTCTATCCATCTCATTACACTCTTCTGCAGGTATTATGAGAAAATGTGTATGAACCTGCTGCATGGCTATAAAATCCTATTAGAGCACATCGAACTGCTTCCAGTCACATGACACTTAAAAATGTCCGAGTTGTTTCACAAACTTTGTTGTGCAAAAACAAGATTACTAGATTGATTACAGCTAAGATTCTACTGTTCTTTCTTTCTTTTTTTCCTCTATACTCATTTACCGAGTAAACCTGATTTCTTTTTCCTTTTACATTGTTAAACTCATACAATAATTATCTATTTTATAAATATATATTATGGTATACACGTCTGACTGCTATTTGATCATCATTGCCACTGTCATTAAAAGCTGGTTTTCTTTTGTTAATGCCAAATAATATCTATAAATAGAAGTACAATTTTTTACACTGACAATATGTGGGATATCATTTTCCTAAATATATAAAAATACTTATTTTAATATTACCTGGTAGTTTCAAAGTATCAATTCCCTGATAGTATTGTTTGTACATGTACCTATTCTCTCTAGATCGCCTTGAAAATGAGAAAACACATTTTTATTTTATCTCTTCCCCTCTTTTTTAAACAACTGTGGCCTCTGGGAAGTTAAAAGACTGTGAAATTAGGAAAATAAATTTATTGTTCTCATTCTTTCTTTCCTAATCTGTAAATTGGGAACAACAGCCCTTAATTTACAGAGATTTTATGGGGAATACAATGTAATGAAAGCTCAATAACTCTAACCCTTAGCATTTATTGAATGATTCTTCTACACCTGTCACTGTACTAAGTATTTTGTCTTCATTATGGTATTTAACTTCTCCTGTATTCAGACAATGTAAAATAATTACTATTATTATCATCAGCATCATTTTACAACTGATAAAAATGAGGCTCGCCAGAGTAAAATTGTTGAAAATGGCAAAAGGCAGAACTATCATCGCAATTCAGATTTGTTTCAGTTTAGATCTGAAGCTCTTCAATATATATAGTTTTATGTAGTTATACATAATCTCTAAGGTTTATGTATTGATATATAAATGAAAATCTATTTTTTCTCAGCAGTATTGGATAAAATTTAGTAAGAGAAATAATAATACAAGACATATTTTCAAACAGATATAATATATACGAATATAAACTGAAAGGTAAGCTCCAAATTTATTTCTGCTATTTATTTTATAGATTATATTCAAACATGTACTCTATTTATACAAGCAAAATGACAAGACTATATTCTAACATGTAGTCTGTGTTATAATGTACTCTTTAGAATCTAATGTTTTGCTCACTGTAAATGTTTAATGCATCTATTGGTTTTTGTGCTTAAAGAAGTACTGTAGCTAATGTTGTAGCTGACTTTAGTTAGCAAGACTGGAAGGAAAAAAATTAGTATGTAACCTACAGCCCCTTCCAGACTGTGTTTATATACAAAATCTGCTGTTTGATTAGTAGTCGAAACTGCTGCTGGCAGAGTTTGATTCATGTTTGCGTCTGGCTGTTTGACTCACTGTTTTCTTGGGTTTTGTTTCTCTCATATTGGATCATATTCTCACTTAATGCATGTCCTTATGGTGTGTTTGCTGTTCTCTTTCTTCCAGAAATTGATACTTTTTTTTTACTTTTCCTGAGCTCCAATAGATTTTTTAAAAATGACTTGTCTTTCAATAATGTAGAAAAAAAATGGTTTGTGGTTCTTGTCATTCTTCCCTGTCTAAATAGACATGTTGGGATGCATAATCAGAATTTCATATTTTAAAAACTATAAGCCTCCAATTATTAATGATAGTGCTTGTTTTTCTCTTAGTTATTTTGTATTAAATGAGAATTGATATTGGTAAAGCACTGTTAGAGAATTTCTTTCTTAGTTATAACATTATTTTAGAACAAATACTGATGCATTTAAGGCAACATTGCTGGACTTGATGCATAAAGGTTAGTCTAAGCTTTGTTTACTTTACATTAATATTATATTTTCCCAATAATAAAGTTATACCAAGAAGTAAAAAAATCACCTATTATTTAATGAGGTAGAGACAGATATATTCGTCCAGGATCACTCTATATATGACATTGTATGTCCTTAGTAATCTCTCTACATTATAATATACATGTTTAATGTGTGATTAAAATCTTTGCAAACATCAATGTATTGAATTTATTAAATATATGTAATCATTCTATGTAAGCATTAATTTATTCAAATATTAAATGTGGATATGATTTATGTAATTATCATTCTATTATGTTTTTTATAATTAATTCACATATTATCATCATTATGAATATACATTTTCTATATTTTAGATTAGTTCTTGGTAGAAACAGGATGACTAGGTCAGAAGCAAATAATATTATTTATATTACTAATATGCTTTCCAGAATCTCATATCAATGAATATTATTACAACTAGAAAACTATAATTCATTATCTCTCAGTCTTACCAGGCTTATATCTTTTATCCTTAATTTGATTATTTACATATATCTGATTTTTACAGATATCTAACATGTTCTCTTGTTTGATAACTACTCTTATTTTTTCCTGCAAATTGTTTTTTTTTTTTTGGTCTATGTATCAGTAGTTTTCTTGATGATTTACATAATTCATTTATTCTAAAACATGTAAATGTGTCCCTTTTTTGTGACAAAAATATTTCTCAGCTTGTTGGTTGCCTGTTAAATCTTAGCTGTTTTTTCCTGCACAAATAAGTGAAGAATTTTAAAATTTTTATATAATAATATACATTGTCCGTTTATTTAAAGATTCATTACATTTCTTTTAATATTAGAAAGTCCACAGCTGGATCTTTTATAAACACTCATTTTTAAATTCTTTTTCCTAATTTTCAACGTGTACAACTTTAATACATATGAAATGTTATAGAATGATAATCTTTTCTCAAAGTGGAAGAGAATGATTATTTCTAAATACCAAAGTAGTAGTGTAGTTATTTTTTAAAAGACTTGACTACAAAAGCTTTTATTTAGTGTGTCTCCTGACATGTTACTATGGTCTCCTCATTGCTACTTTGATATGGCCTATCATTTTGGATGTTGGGCTGTAATAGAAATCCTGACTTACTATAGCTTAAACAAAAAATTGATTTGTTTCTCCTATATAACAAGAAGCTTGTTATTAAGAAACTTGTCAGTAAATCAAAAGTTTTCCCAAAGGTCCTTGGAAGGATTCTTCTCCTATATCATTGGCCAGAACAGCCTGACATCACCATTCCTTGGTCAAAAGTATTCTAGAAAAACAGCTTTCATTTTCAACCTCAATTGTGGAAAACAGCATGGCGAAGGCTGAGGGCCAGGCAACTGACAAAATCTATCACAATATCCAAAGCTTAATTTTTGCATAATGTGATAGATAAATAAATGTTATTTCTAAATAAATTATTTCTAAAGTTGTGATTTAAAAAGAGGAAGTAATTTTCACAAGGTCATAGTCATGGTGTAGTAACGACTACAACATAAACTTTACTTTCCTGAGTTATATAAATGTCCGTGGATTAGAAATCTTTAAAAGGATAGGTAAAGATAAAAACAAATATAAGTGTAAGTGTTAACATAACACAAAATCTTAAGGTGAAGGCAGATATAATAAAGTAAATACCACATGTTCTCACTTATAAGTGGGAGCTAAACATTGGGTACTCATGGACATAAAGATGGCAACAATAGACACTGGCAACTAATAGTGTGAGGAGGGAGTGAAGGAAGCAAGGGCTGAAAAACTTGTGTACTATGCTCATATCTGGGTGATAGGA